AATAAAAAATAAAATAAATTAATTTTAAGATAAATTTTTTTATATATTTAAAATATTAAAATTAATCTCAGACCAAATTCTGAACTCAGGTATTACACAATTAGTCACCATGATGAGTAAGAGTTCAATATTAATATATAGATTCTGCTAATTTATAAATACATTTTATACTATTTAATTTAGTTAAATAAATAATTTAAGTCTTTTTGTGAATACATGATGATTAAGTTAAATTAAATATCAATAAAGTTATTATATTATTAAATAAAAAAATATTATGTGATAATTAAATTTTTTTAGTTGAAGTTGACATAACAAATAAAAAATTCAATATAATATTTTCACATAGAAAAATAATTAGTAATTAATTATTTTTTTTAATATTTTTTTCTTGCCATATATAGTGCTTCATCCATTAATTATCTAATGGTACTACCCAAGTGACAAGATGTTATGTGTTAATTTCCAATTTAAAATTATTCTTTTAGCAGCTTTGTGTCTATAAAAGGATCATCTACTTTGGTTTGTCATTGGCCAAAAATAACAATTAGATGTGACTAAAGTTTGGATGAATTAAATGTTGGAACTAAAGAAGAGAAAATAAAAATATTGATTTGATTTTCTGACATAAATTTTTTAACCAATTAGACAATATTTAAATGAATACATTATATTAAAAAGATAGAGACAAATTTTTATAAATATTTATTGTTATCTTAAATAATAATATATGTATATATTTAACTTATTAGATAATGTATAATTTAAATAAAACTAAAATTTTAACAAAAAATAAATTTATTTAACTTTTAAGTATTTAAGAAAAATCTTTTAATTATAATTAAATTTATATATTTATTTGTTTTAAGCATAGTTTATCGGTGTAAAAATATTTTAAAAGAATAATAATGATGATCTAAAATAAAAAATATAAAAAAATTAAATACTTTTTTCTCTAACATAATGCATTATTATGTCATATGAATAAATTATCTGAGTTAAATTATTATTATATATTTTTTCTTTTTATATAAAAAAAAAAGATTTGAATGTAATTTTATATTATTGATGTGGAGTAGTAGTAGTACATGGGTGTCAAATTGCAAACTTTATCAATATCTTTGACTAAAATACATTGAATCCTTCAATTCACACTTCATTTTTCTCGCTGCTCATCACTTGTACACAATCATCTTTTCCACCTTTTCCACTTGTTGATTCCAAAATCCAAACCCCTTGCAAGCAAAATTTCTCTTTTTCTTCTTTAATATTTTATATTTTTTTATTTTTTTAAAATTTATTTTTCTATTTTCTTAAATCCCAAAAAATGAAGTCAGATGCTCAATTAAAAGAAAATCGAATAAATAATTTAATTCCAAATATTATATTAAATACTCCATAGCAGCAGCACCCCATCACCAACCAACCAAACAAACTCCTTCCCTCTCACTCATCGCCTCCTCTCTCCTCTGCCGATGGCTTCCTTAGATATTCAAACCCCATACTCCACCGCCAAGGACGAAGACGACGACGTTTCACCCATCGAAGAAGTCCGGCTAACGGTAACCAACACCGACGACCCGACCCTACCCGTATGGACATTTCGGATGTGGTTCCTGGGTTTACTCTCCTGCACTCTCCTCTCCTTCCTCAACCAGTTCTTCGCTTACAGAACTGAGCCGCTCATCATTACCCAAATCACCGTTCAAGTGGCCACACTCCCCATCGGCCATTTCTTGGCTGCGGTGTTGCCCCAGACCCAGTTCAGGATCCCTGGGTTCGGGTCGAAAAAGTTTTCGCTGAACCCGGGACCGTTTAACATGAAGGAGCATGTGCTGATTTCTATATTTGCTAACGCCGGGAGTGCTTTCGGATCCGGGTCGGCTTATGCGGTCGGCATTGTTACGATCATCAAAGCATTTTATGGACGGAGCATATCATTCTTCGCTGGGTGGCTTCTCATTATTACCACCCAGGTACTCTGTTTTTGTCCTTTTTTTTTTTTTTTGTTTTTTTTGAAGTCTATTAATTGTTCTTTTTCTTGCTTAATATTATATATATTAATAAAATTTTAAGGGGAAATATATGTATATATAGTAATTTGGCAACAGTTATGTATATACATTCTGCTATAAAATTACTATTAAAAAAAAAAAAGTAAGAAATGGTTGGTGTCTACAAAGATAATATGATTTTCTTTTCTAAAAAAACTAGGAATTTTTTTTTATGGGTTTTACACTTTTATTTTATTTTATTTTTTGAAGCAAAAGCTGGTAATGTTTTTCATTTTAGTACAAAGAGATGTTATAAATTGAGACGAGGGAGGAAGCGTACTTGTGAAAACAGTTGTTGGCTCGCTGTCTGGGAAACTGTTGACGTCATATCAGGCATAGAAATTTATTATTGTATAGTTTTTCACTAAATACCTTATTTATACACTATTAAATTATTAGTTGTGTGTTTTTAATTATTTTAACCTACAATATCTTTTTTAAGTAAGCAGTCACAGTGTTATGTGAAAGTTATAAGTAAAATAAAAATATATATTTAATTAAGTACGTTTGTTGCTTATTTTTGAAAGAAGTTTATAAGTTTTACATAGTTGCGTAAGTCAAAGAATAAGACAAATTAATAAAAAAAAATGTAGGTAGGTGATAATTACAATAAATATGAATTAGTGCATTCCTCAAAAACTACTTGTGAAAATCCAATTTTATGTGTATTTTTGTTTTAATTAAATTTTTTGGAAAGAGAATTTATTTGATTTTTAAGTATGCATATTATACCTTTTTATTTTCTGAAAATTATTAAACTAGTGAAACTAATATACATATATATTATCCGAATATATATAGGTGCTGGGATATGGGTGGGCTGGATTGTTGAGGAAATACGTGGTGGAACCGGCTCAAATGTGGTGGCCGAGTACTCTGGTTCAGGTCTCTCTTTTCCGGTACGTTTCTTTCCTTATTCTCCCCCCAACTCACTGAGTCGCTCGCTCAGTTGACATTTCCTCCTACTTTCTGATGGACCTGACGCTACCCTCAATATAAGTTTTATCGTCAATTGTTAGGCGACTATCTTAGAAAACGCTTAACAAGACATGTCTACCCACTGATTTATCATTCCACCAAAACGACACCGTGACCGACTCTCAGGCTTTCATCTTCACACTCCTCAAGACGGTTCTTACGCATAAAATTCCTTCCTAGAAAAGGATACAACCGGCCTTGCTCGTCCCCACTTGAGACCAGTTGGGCAAAAGAAAATTTTGTTCATCGGGAGGATGAATTTTGATTGATATTTTTGTCTTATTTAAACAAGCCGCTAGAATATATTAAGGCGAAAAGGACCAATTATTTATTTATTATTTCACAATAGAATTATTATTATGAGGAAGAAAACAACTGTCATTTATAAACAAGTCACGTGTCAGATCCCAATCGATAAGGCTCTTTTCCTGGGCCTGCAAATGAGGAGATTCCCATATCCTAAAATTGGAGGCTATTATTATTTTTATAATATTAAACAAGTCTTGATGGGATCATAAGATTCCTCTAGAGTCAACTCTGATGGGTCAACTGGAATCCAAGATGAACCGCCTAAGTCTAGTACAATCCTCTAGTTTCTTTGGTTTTCTTTTTTCTTTTTTTTTTTTTTTTTGTTTCAACGGTTTATTTATGTTTGAATTTATCTATAGAATAAGTTAACTAGCTGTCTGAATTTGCCATGAAAATTGAAACGTCAAACATGCCAATTTCCCAGTCTTCCTCCTAACTTGCTGACTTTGCGGCAGAGAAAAAGAACACGTCAATCATGAAAGAAAACAAAATTGAAAAACATACCAAACCCTAAGCAAA